TTCAGCTGAGAGCCATTGGGATGAGGACTCAGAAGCCTCCAGTCTGAGGAAACAAGACCAGCCGAGGATCCGGCAAGGTGAGATAGCTGTGGCTTGTTCTGTCTCTCTGATCAACCAGCATGGACCCCAATAACTCGCTTCAGGTTTGATTTTATTAATAAGAACTTTTTAAGATTCCTGCTACACCCAAGAGTTGTCCTCTGACCTCCATCTGTATCTCTCCCACACACACACACAAAAGCATGCACGCCCGCACGCCCGCACGCATGCATGCATGCGCTAAAAGTCATTTTTTTTTAAAGCACACTAAATTCAATGTCTTAAAATTAGCTACAAACATGCAATTTTTCTTATGACTTCCTACGTGGTTGAACAGTTCTCCAGATCTCACTGGAGGCAGAGGACATCTCTCATGCTGATTTACCCAGACAGCAGCTGCGACTAATCTAAACTTGGCCGGGCTCACGGAGTCAAGACGGCCTACCCTTAAGTTTGGCATGCTGGCCAGGACTCTGGAAGGTTAGGCTGAGCCTAGATCAAAGGTTCCTGTGACTCCTTCTCCTCACTAGGCCTTCCCGGTCTCCTCTCTGTGTGGATTTCTCCAGGAGGGTAACCAACCTACCTATAGGACAGTTCATGGCTCCAAAAGTGTCCCTGGCCGGCCCTACTGGTCACATTCTGTTGGGTAAAATGAGTCACAAGGCCAGACCAATTGAGAGGCTGGGGGAAGGGTGTCAGGAGTTGACCAGTGGCTCTCTCTGGAGACTAGTTTTCATTCCCTCCCACCTTCCCCCCCCCCTTTTGGTTTCCTGAAACAGGGTCTTATGTAGCCCAGGCTGACTTCAAACTTGCTATATAGCCAAGGCTGGCCTTGAACCCCTGATCCTCCCTGCCTCCATCTCCCAAGTAGTGGGATTATAGATGTGTACCACCACACCCAGTCTCTAATTTTTTAAAACTGGTGTTTGCTGTGTAGCCCAGGTTGGCCCAAACTTCCCGAGTACTTGGATAATAATTATGTGCCACTAAGCACAGCTACCAAGTTCCTTCTTTAATAGAGTGTACTTAAACTAAATGCCGTTTCCCGTGAACTCTACTACAGAGCAGCCACAGTTTTTTGAGGCCGGGTTTCATGTAGCCCAGACTGGCTTCAAACTCACAGACATGCCCCTGTCTTCATGTGCTGCATGCTATGATACCTGGAATCCCTACATCTGGCTCTTTCTGAGGTTTACACAAATCTTATCATTTAGTTCTGGGTTTCATGTTTGAACCAGAGCCTTTTCCTATTTTGAGCATATTTTTCCATTTCTGGAGGCTGAAAATGAGAACCAGGTTCGTTTTCAAACCCCACAAGTCCTTGGCTCTGTTATAATTTCTATAAATTGTATTTGAAAGCTAGTTTCCTTTTTCATTCACTTTTCTCTGTCCTTGTCCCCTGCATTCAATAACCCCACGGACACTACCAAAGTCGACTTGGAAGTCTCTTTAATAACCAAGTACGGTGCACACTTGTAATGCCCCATACTCAGGAGGCTGAGGTAGGAAAGTCAAGAGTTCAAAGCCAGCAAAACCCTGTCGGGACAAAAATCTCTTTAGCCTAAGCCATTCATTCCTCGGGTACATTTCCTATGATCCGCATCACTGCAAGTGACACTTCTGTTCAACTTTCTTCAACAAAAGCCACAGAACCAGCTAAGCCGGGCTCGGAGCGGCTCACAGAGACTGAATCAACAACCAGGGAACCTGCATGGGTCTGACCAAAGTCCTCTTCACATCTGTTATGATTATGTAGTTTGGTGTCCTTGTGGGACGCCTAACGGAGGGAACAGGGGCTGTCTCTGACTCTTTTGCCTGCTTTTGGGACCTTTTTCCTCCTACTGGGTTGCCTCATCCAGCCTTAATATGGGGGATGTGCCTAGTCTTCCTGCAACTTGATACTTGATAGACCGCATTTGGTTGCTAGCCTTGGGAGGTCTGCCCCTTTCTAAAGGGAAATGGAAGAGGAGGGGATCTGGAGGAGAGGGGAGGTGGGAGGGAGGGCCTGGGAGGAGAGAAGAAACTGAGGCTGAAATGTAATATATGAAAGAAGAATAAAAAAAACAAAACAAAACTTTCTTCTGCTATCTAATAAATGCCCCCCACCCCTTCCAATAACATTTTCCTTTAAGTCCTTGACAGCAGGCTCCTTGAAGACCTTCAGGTTTCCAAGAATAGTAACAGACATTCAAAGCCCTGACAAGGTCTGCTCAAGTCCAAGCCCTAAAGTCGTAACTAGGTTTTGTTATGGCGGCAGTTTGCTTCCGGGTAACAAAAAAGTCTGCATCAGTGTTTGTTGTGTCCCAACAGAGCACCCCCAAACAGTGGGCTTAGGACAACGGTAACCACCTCTCTTGTGTATGGATTTGGGTGACTGGGCTGACATGGTGCTTCTCACTCGGGGCCTTGAGTTTTCGGGGGAAGCTGCAGGGCTTCATCCACACTTTGGGGGCTCCAACAAGGACGACACTGGTAACTCAGCCTCGGTGGTGGTGGCTTCTCAAGTGTCTCCTTAGGATTCTGGGTAGCTGGCTTTCTTTCGTGGCAACTGAAGAATTCCAGCGTGATTGTTCTGAAAGGAGCCACAGCTATGTGAGCTTTCACAGCTGAGACTTAGAAGTCACTGTCATTTGCGACATCTGGGGACCTTCCGGTGCTCCCAAATCCCCATCCAGGTTGAAAAGGAGAGGAGAGACATGGTTTCTCTCTCTCTCCCTCTCTTTTATCATGTGGTGTGTGTGTGTGTGTGTGTGTGTGTGTGTGTGTGTGTGTGTGTGTGTGTATGTACCACTTGTACATGGGTGCCCACAAATCTCAGAATAAGGCATCTGATATCCTGGATCCGGGATGACAGGCAGTTGTGACCCAGGCAACATGGATGCTGAGACTCAACCCTGGGGTCTTCTTCAAGACCACTGAGCCATCTCTCCAGGCCCAGACCTAATTTCTTGATGGTAGAAGAGCCAAAGAATAATGTATACGTTTTAAAGTTCTTAAGAAGCCAGGCATGATGGTGCACACCTTTAATCCCAGTACTCTCTCTGAGTTCAAAGCCAGCCTGGTCTAAATAGTGAGTTTCGGGCCAGCCAAGGCTTCATGGTGAGAACCTGTCTTTAAAACCCTAAATAAACAGATAACTATAAACCTATAAGAGGTTAATACACCCAGGCCACAGAGCTAGAGAGGACAAAGTTGAGATTTGAACCCCAGATGTACCTTGCTACAGACTCACACCCTTAAATGCCTTCTTAGTTGACAGTGCTGGTGCTGGGCTGGGCTGGAACCCAGGACTTCGTGCGTGCCACTGAGTCACACCAGAGTCCCACACTGCCTTCTGCCGCCATAGAGGCAGGGAGCCTACATGATGTCCCCGGACAGGAGACAGTCGTGACTTACACGCATCTACTCAGCTTCCTCACTGAAAAGCAGAATAACCCATGTGATGGGAGTGTCCTTCTCCTCTGAGAAGGTGTGGCAGCCTGGCTGTGAAAGGAACTGGTGAGGCCTCCCTTGGGATCTTTCTTTCTGTAGTCACCAGTCCCTTGGGGGTGATTTCCATGTCACTGTCCCCATCCCCTGCAAGGCACTGTCTTGTCAACTTGTCCCCGTGTGGGAGGGAAGAGTATCCTTGGGACCTTTCAGGAGTGTCTGTCAGACTGAGGATGGAGCTCAGTGGTGGAGTGTGTACC